AGCACTCAGTGAGCAAATATTGATCACAAAATTAGATTCTGGAAAAATCTCAAATACTTACCTAGTGCAAATATCCTCAGGACAAACTGGGTAATTTACATATCACTGCAGATCACAGGGTCTTCTGCTGTTGACATCTGGGACTTTTTGACACTCTGATCTCTGGCCATGTGTTCACTATTGAACACAAAAGCCTTTCTAATAAATCCGTTGAAACCAGCACAGCCTTCTTCTAGCACTTATGACGCTAAAAACCAATTAAACACCTCACTGTGTGTGAGTGCTGATGTCATAGTGTGTAGCATAAGGATAAAACTGTTGTTAATCCCAGATGGGATAGTGTGTAGCATGGGCACAAAACTGTTGTTAATTCCAGATTATCAAGTGCAAAAGAGAGGCAGACTGGATGGGATTTCATATCCTTAAAGGTCGCCTTCAGGAGGAAACCCCCTGTGGCCTCACAGGGGGCCATTATCCATCAGCCTGGATCCCCACAGTGCACTGGTTCAGGCATGCTCAGAGCTATGTGAGGCCCCAGGCAGCTCCTGCCTTCTGCATGCCATGTTGCAAAGTTTCTACCAGAGGCTCCCTGCAAGGGGGCCTGGCCTCAAACCTGCCATGTCTGGCCCCTTGGTGCTCATGGCCTGCCCTAGCTCCCAGCAGCTAGGTGGCACCTCCAGTTCCCATGGCAGCCCCTGGGCCACCAGACTGCCACTGCCAGACATGTTTCACAACAGTGCTCTCCCCATCTGCTGCTGCATGTGCTCTGGGTCAGAGAGCAAGGAAGCAATAGGGGACAGAAGTACTCTCAGTCTGTCCCAGTTCAACCAAAGGGACCCTCTGTCCCTTCTGCTGGTCATCCGGCCCCAAAAGCTGTCCATGTACAGTTTTTATCTGGAGTCACAACACATGCATAAACCAGGCATAAAACATGCACACTTGTGGCCACATTTCTCACACATACACACATTTATATAGGCAGGACATTCCAACAAAAAGGCAAACAATTTTCCCAGGGATACAGTGTCATCTGATCAACTCAAAAACTCTAAAATAAGAGTCTACAGTTCTTGTTAGTCAGGAAAAGAACAAAATTATAACACACAAGACAACAAAACAGCTCTCCTGGCACCTGGAGACAAAACCACAGGGAAGATACTGGCCTCGGGCCTTCCCGGTCTATACAAATCAAAATCAGATACAAATCAACCAAAGGAATTCAAACTCATCCAAAGAACCTTCTGCAGGTACTTCATTACAAAAGGATATTCAAATGAAAATAAGCAAGAAAACACAAACACAATCACAGAATCACAGAAAACTTGTTGGCCAGCGTCAAGCTCTAAGGTCAATGTTCTCAGCTGGCTTGAGGGATCGTGGCAAGCACCCAGATGTTATGCCAAGATGGAGATGAACCCCTAAAGACCACCAGAGACCAAATCACTTATGTAAGAGACCAAACCACTTATGTAAAAGTGAAGAGCCTTTATTTTCAAGCTTGAGCTTAGACTTTGTGTCCAAAACAGCAGTAAGTGAGAGCAGAGAGCCCAGAGCACAGGCAGGGTGGGTATTTTTTTTTTTTAATCATAGCAAAGGTTGGAGTGAGGGCATTTCCATGGTTCAGGACCCTGAGTGACTGACATTTGTCTAGGGATATAGGGAATGTTTGAAATGTTAGCTATTTTCCCTTAGATACAGACCCCATTAGGTGGGGTTAGCTTATTGCTTTTCCTGGGTCCAGGTGTTTCCTGCCAGAAGCTCTCTCTGGACCTCAAAATCTGTCATGGCAGCTGTGTGGTCAAGCTATTTTGCTCTCCACCACACAATTAGATGATTTGATATACCCATCTCACACTTCTCATTCTTTGGTGATAAAACCATTACCTTTCTCTAGTATAGAGTACTTTTCTGTATTTATATAACCAGCCTGCTGTGCAGTAGTAAGAATGTCTTGCTCCTGTCAAATGGTGACTTAGTCCTCTTTGACCAAATATTACTCAGACATTCTTGCTCCTGACTTCCCCGACCTATTTCTACTGTTCTACTCTCAATTCTGTGGGTTTAACTAAAAACAAATATATTTCACATGAACAGCTAGAGATGAAAGCAGTAATCTTCTAGGATTCATGAAACTTAAACCCAGAGGCCATGACTTCCAGTATGACTTCTGAAGTCATTCTTGAAGCACTCTGTCATGGAGTAAGTACAAGAGGGAGGGCTGAGGATGAGATTTCACTGTGCAGCAGAGAGTGGTAATGAACATGAGAGCTACTGAGTAAGTCCCATGGTATTAGAAGTAACACCATCCTGGGGTCAGACTCCACACACACGTACACACCAAGGAGGAACCAGCACTGCAGGTCTGGGTGATTGTCACAGGTTGAAGAACACTGTAGACCTCAGTGCACAGGGGGTGAGCAGAGAGGGAGGTGTCACCACTGATCCTGACTTGGAGGGACCAGAAAAAGCACAGCCATGTGGGTCTTGAGAGGGACAATTTATTCCTGAGACGAGAAATGTCAGAGAACCCCTTCGTAATGAGTCATCTGTGGAAATAAAGAGGAAAAGCACCATCTGGTTCTCCATTCCGAAGAGAATGTGCTATGAAGGCTCTGACCAATAACTACCCAGTTATGGAAGAACAAGTGTCCATGGAATATCTCTTTCCACTTAAAGTAGGCAAGAAAAATATGTTGTAAAACTTATCCCTCGAAGATAAATACCTACATATTTAACGAATTAAAAAACTCAGTGTGTGCTTTTGCACATACATATGTGTGCATGTTTTTATGCACAGACACAAAATTGTGTTCTTGAAATGTAGGGCTATGTTGGTATTTTATTTGTACTGAAATGTGATTTTATTTGTATGTTAATAAGTAAAGTTGCTTGGGGGTCAGAGCTAATTGCAAGCCATAGCAGAGGCTGTGCATTCGTGGCACATGTCTTTAATCCCAGCACTTGGTAGAAGAGCTAGGTAAATCTCTGTGTGGTCAAGGATGAGGGGTGGGCTGGGGGGAAGGGGAGGGGAACAGGACAGGGGAGAAAAAGGGAACCAGTGGCTGATATGTAGAACTGAATGGTATTGTAAAATAAAATAAAAAGGAA